AGCCTACGAATCGAGGTGGTGTTACTTCAACACTGCATCATTGATGCTAAATAGTATTACTTTCCAATGTCGTATCCCGTATGGATATTAAGGAGAAAATGTCCAACACTGTGCGTCACTAGACACTAAGAAGATACATTCCATATGGACTTCCACCACTCCTTCCTATAGGTGAACTTCCACCCTCTAACATGATTATGCCCTCACTCAACATATATATCACATATACATTTCAAATTTCTCAACCCATTCATATATAACTTTCATCTTCCTCATCATTTACAGATATATTTTTCATGTACAAAATCACATTTCGCAATATGCTAGGTTAACAAATCTCAAATAATGGATTTAACATATATACTCACATACAATTAAGCAATATAATCAAATAGTGTAAATCATTCTTTTACCTCAAACCTTTGTCACACAAAAGGGTTACCGTGGCTCAACGTTAACTCCACATGTTCTATACGCATATTATAACGTGAGCAATGCTCAATCTACACAATCAAGTGACACTCATCAATTATCACTCTGGATAACTCCGAATTCACTAGGTTATAAGTGTCTAAAACATTCAAATTCATTTTCTAACAACATTAACCATTCCCAAACACTCTAACTATCCTATTAAACATCTCAACACATCAAAATCACTAACCAATATCCTATATTGTCTTAAAATTTTTAAATTATACCTAGGTTCGTCCAAATCTTTACCAAAAATTTTCAATCATCACAAAACTCATAAACTTAAGGTTAAAGGCTTGATTAAGTCCCCAAGACCTTAAATAAACTAATGGGTTCGGTTTAAACCTAAGAGAATCGAAATCAAAGCCCCCATTGTCCTAAATGTCTAAATTTTTGCATAATGAGGGAGAGGGAGAAGAAAGGAAGGCTTACCCAATATATATGAAGCTTGAAAGGCCTCCAAAATCATGCTGGAAGCAAGCCCTACTAGCCACAAGTCTCTCTTTGTCGTCACTCTCGAGTTCCTTCTTTCTCTCTTTTGTTTTTTGAGTCTAATTCGCGATATGAAAAGTGCAAATTTTGCATGTGCATCGCAGCGCATTGACACACCCGCTATAGTGCATGGTACAGAAAGTCTCACAAAATTTTAAACTCCCTTTGGTGCCATAGCCTGCTCAAACATAGCCCTAGCCCTCTTCTAAGACTGTTCAAGGATTCAAAAACTATATTAGTTTCCTATAAACCTTGCTAAATTAATAATTTATCTAAATTAACTAAATTACCCTTGAAAACATTGATAATTACTTGAGGAACTTAGGATGTTACACAATACTAGTGGACAGTTATACCTTTTTAGCTTAAGACTGCCCCCATCACAATTTCAAAAGGCCATAATCTGTATCTTCGAGCCCATCATCAACAGTACCTTTGTCTATATTTATTGCATACTTTTGTTCTCAGAAACTGAGCAAGAACATAAAGACCTCCTAGCCTAATTCTACAAAATAATCCAACACTATAGAATTATGCTCTTAACCTGTAAAGGTCATATTGGTATAACCCAGATAGAATTTTTGGCAATGATTATTCAAGATGGATAGCACTACCTTAGCCCACATATTGCTAAAAAATTGTTCAATTTCCTACATGAAAATATATCCAGGACTCAAATTCAACAATTCTTGGGAATTATGAATTACATCAAGGACTTTATCCTTCAGGTGTCTAATCACAACAACCAACTGTCTAGGCTATTGCAAAAAAAAAAAAAAAACCCACCTCCTTGCAGAATCAACCAGATAAAAGCTATCCAATATCTAAAGTAGATTTGTTAGCATCCTTCACCTTTGAGGATTCCTGATAAAGGACAAGGAATTCTACAAACCAATGCAAGTGATGGCTATTGGAGAGTAATGCTTATTGAAGAAAATAATGGAAAAAGACATTACCATGATCATACTAGTGGAGAATTCAAACCTGCTGAAAAGCATTATCACAGCTTACAAAGAAGTCTTAGCTTTGAAATGTGGCATTGAGAAGTTTAGCTTTCATCTCAACCCCTACCACTTTATGGTAGAAATAGATGACACACCATTCCCAAAACCCTTGATCAAAATAAAAACATACTTCCTAAAGCTCAACTCAAGATTGGTTTTCCCGTTATAAATGTATAGTCAAACACATTAAGGAATACCACAACACAATTGCATAGTATCTCACCCTCGTAACACCCTCGTACCACAACACCATTAAGGAAAAAGAGTCCAGCTCAAAACAACCTCATACCATCAACCTCTTTTCATCCTCAATATCATGCCCAAAAAACTAGTTTTCCCTCCTATCTCTAATCTTAAATTTGTCACCGAAGTCCACTAATTAGCTAAAAAAAGCTTATTCTTTTGACTTCACCTTCTTCTTCAAAAAACCTAAATCTAGCCACAGCTTAAGTTCTTTGACATACAAATCCCATAATTGGCCATACCTTACATCAGGGGTCCTATATCAGAAGAAGCCATGTGGTATCTTTAGTCTTTCTCCACTCTCTATGCATGTGTACTAGCCTTTCAACCTTTAATCATTTATCATTACCTTTATAATTCTGCTAATGAAGGTTATAATCTCTGGAACTTCCTTGAATGATTGTCACCATTTCAAGGAATTGAAAATTATTGTCTATGGAAGGTACCCTTGGACAAATAGAAGGCTTATCTTCTTTGTTATTTATCATCCCTTCCATCCAGATAGCCATGGGAATATTTATGTTGCCAACCAAACTTGTCTGTGAAAAATCTCTATCAATTGGCCATCACATGAAAAATTAATTTTATCCGAATTAAAATATTTTTTATGTGATATGGATAACTTCCTAAGCACATATCTTAGCATCAAGTGCACATCTCTTAGTCCTATTCCACATCAACCTATTATTCCTAATGATCCATCGCCATTTATGCAATACCAGTTTCCAAAATGGTTGTCGGTATTGTTGTTCAACAAGGCTTCTTAACATTGATGGAACCATATTCTTCAATCCATGGAACATAGTCATCTCAGAATACAGGATCTCCTCTGAGCCTTCCTTCTCCAAATCCCTAGGATTCTTATGACATAGAGTTTTAGTACTACCAATAATTTTCGGAGACAAAAGACTTTCGTACCCTTGGACCATCTGAAGAACAAGAAGATATGGATGAAGATAAAGTGGAAAGTCTCTTAGACTGACTTCTTAGAAAGCAAGAAAAGAGATGTCTCAATTTTGCTTCTAATTAAGAAAGAATCTACAAGCATATGAGGTGATTGAAGCCTTATTTTCAATCATGTGAAAAATATGTTTTTGCTTTAATCATATCCACTTTTGTTAAAGACATCTTTACTTTTGAGTCATCTTGAGTCATCTTTACTTTTGTCAAAAATAACTTTTACTTTTTGACAAAATTGTCCACCATAGTCAGATCAATTTTAGCAAAGCTACTTTTACTTTTAGTCATGTCTACTTTAACTTTAGAAAATTGTGTTCACGTGTAATAATAGTGTATTGTCTTGACTCTCCTCCCTTTATTTATAAAAGGGAGCATTGATTGTGTTGTAAATCAGAATTTGTTCAAACTCCTTTGAGCAATAAAATCAATGTGTTCTTTATCATGTAAACCCTCTTCTCTTTTAAAAGTTTGATTCAATAATATCTTACTTCTATCATCTTAGCCTCTCTTAATAAAAATTTCTGTACAGGAGTTGTCTCCCATTGATTGAAATATTCTACATGCAGATGCCGTGTTTATATAGTGTAGCTTCTGAAATTATTTTATTTTTTATATACAAGATTCATTTCATATATATAAATATATATTACATGTCAACTTCCGTATTTTTACTGCTTCAAATAACGACACTAATCTTTTCTTTTTTTAAATATCATATCTTCAATTTTTTTAAAAAAATTAAAATAACCTAATGCAGGAATAAGTTATACTAGTGATGATATAGGGTTGAGCAGGGGCGAAGTCAAAAAAAAATTTATTAAGAAAGGCCAAAATGACAAAACATATATAGTTATTAATTATTTATGATAGACGTGATCATTAATTCTTATATATCAATAGAAGGAAAGTTATATATATATATATATATATATCACTAACATAATATAAATATTTTCACGTATATATTTATATTTAATTTTGCAAATAAATAACAAATAAATAAATATTTTATTTTTAAGTTTCACTCATCAATTTTTCATAATATAAGAATAATTAATTATCATGTCTATCATAAATTTTCAGCAATTTTTTTCTCAATATAAACTATCATTAAATTAGTAAAAATTTTATCTTTTCTATGAGCTTTGAATGATTTAAACACATTATTGGAATTTAAAATTCTGTCTAATATATGAAGCTCTATTACTTTCTTATTGAATTTATTATTTATAAAATAATAGAAAATATTTGTATTATACATATTTTATTTTATTTAAATTATTAAAAAATTTAAAATTGTTTATTAAATATATATTCATTAATTTTTTATTATTTAATTTCCTGTAAATAAATTAGTTAAGATTAATTTAAATATATCAAACATAAACTTTTAAATGTTCATATTAATGTGATAATTTTCAAAAAATTTGAATATATGTCATAATATTTTAGTTCAAATAATCAAAATAAAATAATATAGGAAACATATAGAAAACATGAACCTTCAATAATTATTTTTAATTCTTTCTCAAAATCAATTTATCAAATTTTTTTCTTCAAACTTATTTATCATCGTTTCAATTTGTAACATTCTAATTTTTGACAAATGTTTCGTATCATTATCTAACATGTTTAAAGTTATATAAAATTTTTAAGAATATTAATTATGATGAATATTAAAAAAAAAAATTAATTACTAATATTATTTTTTTGAAAATTTGGCCCCTCACCCTTGAGAAGCTGATTCCGTCCCTGGTTCCAAATATTTTTGTCTTTTGCTCTCCAACACAAAATTTGGCTTCTTATATATAAATTTTAATGTCGCAGGCTGCAAGAATATTTTTGAAAAGTCAATATTTTCGTGGGAGAAATCGGAGGCAACGACTTCAATTATCCTCTCATGTTACGAAGAAGTCTGGCAGAGATTAAAACTTACGTGCCCCCCGTGATTAATACAATCTCTTCCACAATAGTTGTAAGATCTTTATATATATATATATACACACACGAAATTCTCAATTTACCTTCATTTTTTTTCTTTCCTTGCATCAATAAATCCATCCAATAACTATCGAGTGCGTGGATCAACTGGTAAAGAATTGCATCAACTTAATCAATGATCTCAAGTACCAACCCTAGAAATTAAAACTCTATGGTAGAGCCTGTTGACCAAAAATAATCTATCAACACTACTAGAAAATAGGTGTTTTGCAATGGATTTTGCTCTTGATTTAATACAAAACATCCATCCCAAATGCTTTTTGGGATGGAATTTGTGATGAAAGTGTGTTTGTCACTAATTTACTCATGGCAAATTTTAGCGATGGAAGTTTACTGTTTGCAAAAATTAGGGATGGATTTTTGGAGGTAGAATGCTCTATCCAGATTAGTCTAGACCCTTGTTAAGTCCCCTCATATCAACATGGAACAGGGCCAGGATACCGTGATGCACAAGCAATAAGAAAAAATAAATCGATGAAGTGTTTTTGAATCTCTCTTCAAAGATTAAGTTCAACTGAATCTGTTTGTTGCAGGAGTTGATTGACCTAGGAGCTCAAACGCTCATGGTTCCAGGAAATTTTCCAATAGGATGCAATACATTATATTTAACATTGTATCAAAGCAAACACATGAAGGACTATGATGAAGGTGGTTGCTTAAAGTGGTTAAACAAGTTTGCTAGATACTACAACAAGAGACTCCAATATGAATTAAATCGACTTCAAGTGCTTTATCCCAATACAATATCATCTATGCTGATTACTACAATGCTGCGTTACCATTGTATCATTCTCCCACAAAATTTGGTAATATAAATTATTCCCTCTCAACTAGAAAAAAAATATTTTGTTAATTTGATTGTGAATATTTAATTTGCAGATGTATTGATATCCATTTCAAGTGTGTATATATTTTTTTTTTCATGGAATAAAATGACAGGTTTTATGGATCTGAAAGCTTGTTGTGGAGGTGAAATCAATAACAGTGGTTCAACAGGATGTGGAAGTGAAGGAGTGAAAGCTTGTGATGATCCTTCAAAGCACATTAGTTGGGATGGTCTTCATCTGACTGAGGCAGCATATAGATTGATTGCCCAAGGATTACTAAATAGGCCCTACGCTTCATGAATGTATACATTATTGGGAGAATTATAATCAAATAAGGAAATCAATTATTTTTCCATAGTTCAGTTACAAGTCAAATTATAACATTTACAAGTGGATGAGACTTGTTAGTTTTATTATTTGGGACTTATAGGCTATATCCAATTCTCCCTGAATTAATTAATGGAATCTTTGAAAATTTCAACAACCATACATTGGATTATACCCATTATTCAGGTTTGTTTAAAACTTTTTTTATTTTATTATTCTAAAATGGGTATTTTGTATAACATGTTCTAAAAACAAAAAAAAAACAGGTGTTTTTTACATTTTCTCTTACTCTTTTAAATAATAATCTCAAAATACTTAAAAGGCATTTCTGTTTTTATATTCTTCAAAACAATATTTGATTTTTTTTAGTTTTTTAAAATACTTTTTGAAAATATATTATCAAACAAATTTTTTTAATTATTTTTTTTGAAGAACAAAAACCTGCTCATTGCCAAACAAGCCTTTAGTTTTCTTAAGGGCTCTTTTTTTTTTGAATAAATAAATTTAGGTGAGTTTGCCCCTTGAAATTCACTAGGCCCCAAGGCATGCCTTCAGCTTGAAAAAATTGGTTCATCGCATATAAAAAAAAAATATTGCCTTTCATTAGACCCAATAATCCCGTTGTTAGTTGATTTGATTTTTCAATTTAGTGTCTATAAATTGTTTTCTTGATAAAAAAAATATAATTAGGCCTTGATTGCACTAGAATATGACTAGGCCAAACCCAATGAAATATAAGTGAGGATCAGTGGGAAAAGAGAGCTTGGTAGTCCATGGGCTATGAATCAGAGGCAAAGGCCTAATATGGCCCACAAAGATCATATCCTGTATTTGGGGCAGTGAGGATTTGAAAGAATGAGTAACGGTGTCTTTCACGGTCCCACCAACATGCTGGAATCCACCATTTTCCAAAAATGCCCTCGTCGACTTGCGGGGAGAGAAAGAGAGGGGACAGATGGAGGGATTCTCCCCATGTAAATGAAATTAAAATTTAAATAACATGTTCTATTTTATAATTTATTAATTCAAAATAAAATGTATTTTATGTGTTATCCCTATATAAATTAAATTTTGAAAAATATTATTTTTTTAATCTAGAACGTAGGACCCGGTACATATTCTTAGAAGTGTAAATGACAATTTGTTTCCATATAAAAATTAACAATTTTTTATTTTAGAAATTTAAACAATAACGTACAAAGTGAAAGGGAAAATGGCACTGAAGGCCCTCAGAACCAACAAAATTACAATCAAGGCCCTATAGAACCTGATTTGATTCTGCAGGTCCAGAAGTCTTGGTTGCAAATTTTTTTGGTAAAAAGACTGAATTGCCCTTAATGAATGAGAAGTAAAAGAAGTTGGAATGTTGAAGATAGATGCGTAAGATTGAAATAGGAAAGAGCTTGGTGACTTCAGTGAAACTCTGTAAATGTACTTGTTTAGGTTCCATAACATTGGTCAAATAAGTCATGATCAAAATAATCTGTTTTAATTTAAATATAAAAATATTCATATATATATATATATTTGACTATGAAAAATAGAAGACATCAATTCTCAAGTAAATGAAAATTCATCCACAAAATCTTATAATATCTTATACAAATGTTAATTATAAGTACCAAGTAGGTGTGATATAGATGATAATAGTTTGAACCTTTTAAGTATCATTCTAAGATTTGATTTGTGGAGGTGGGAATGAAAAAACATCACTTAAAAAAGGATAACATCTTAAATGGTGCTTAGATATTTTAAGAAATTAATCTTACAATTGTCGGCTGTAGGAATGCTTGTAGTTAACCAAAAAAAAAATTATTAGTTATAAGTTTCTATCAATAATAAAATATACATTAAAATATTAATTAAAAGCTGATTTAGATTTAATTTAGAGCTCAATATTTAAAAGAGAAAAGAGAAAGCTGTAAATTAAACCAACCCATTTAATCCGCTAGTTGATTGAGTAGAAGCCAGGTCACAAAGTAAATGGCTTGTTCAATCAATCAAATTGGCCAAATGACTGGTTCACTAGTTCATAGTCATGTCAATCTGATTTTACAAACAGTAAAAAATAATATGAGTTGAGGAATATTCATCTGAAAATAAATTCATCCCTCTTTCGGAATCAATCTAGCAATATAAGTCAAATAAAAGGCCTTGATAGAGGAAGACAGATAAAAAAAAAAAAAAGAGAGAAAATCGCATGCCATCCGATCAATCTAATCCTATGAACCTATTCCCTAAGGATGAATACAATGAAAATGAATTAATAAAATAATCCTATGAACCAATTGATAGTGTGTGTGAGGCGTCCATGTCTTCCCATCTAGATTCTGTATTAAGAAATCAATTTGCAGATTTCCCTTACGAATGCATAGCGATTACGAGAGATTAATGAATCTTTGGTTATCTGCCAGCAATCGCTCCATCGACTTCATTTTGATCTAACATTTTCATTCCTTGCTTAACTCTTTCTTCAAAACCATCTACTTTTTTTTTATATATATATATAAAAGGATAGGCGAGTTGGATTCCAAGACTTATCATGACTAAAACATGTCTCTAAATTCAAAAAACATTTATGAGAGATATTTACAGTTTACCCCATTAATAAAGTCATCATATCAATAGTGAAATTGGAACTTACAACTTTGTAAGTTATGAGTTACTAACTGGATCAATTTTTTATTGGTTCGAATTCAGTAATTTTTCTGGTGACCCGCCTGAAATTTCTGGATACGGATTAAATCTCCATTTTCAAACCATTTAGCTTTTTTTTTTTGGGCCTAAACAGTTAAATTAGTTTTCAATTTTTTATACTCAAAATTAAGCTGGGTATAACATTTTGTCCAAAAAAACTGAGTCGTATATTTCTTTTATTTATGTGCACAAGTCATATTCGTTATATTTCTGATTATAACATTAAAAGTAAATTATAAATATTATACTTTTTGTTTGTTATTTATTCTCTTGAAAGGCACTAAAAATAAATGTCCGAAATTTAAATTTTACAATTGAATAATTAATGAATAGGAAAATAATGTATCTTAAAATATTATTGCAAATTTCTTGAACCACAATTATTTAAAAAAGTATATATAATTTATGTGATCATTATTTATAACCATTAAAATCAAAAATTTCTTACGCTATTGAATGACATTTTAATTTTAATTACATAAATTTAAATGATAGGAGCAGCACCTCAATATTGGTGGCCAGCGCAGAGCCCATGGATAAGAAACCGAAAAGAATAAAAATGGATGGAAGACAGGAAGCTTGGCTGTGAATGGTGTCATTGTACAAAATAGGCAAAAAGGACAGACAAAGAAGGCCCAACAACAAGGGAATCTTTTGCCAGCGAGGAGCATGAGGTACTATTGTACGAAGCTTTAATAAGGAGTGTGACAGATTAAGGTTCAATGTTTTTTTTTTTTCGGTGTCACTTGTGATATCAGTTTAGGCATCTTAATCATCATTTTAAGGTGTATATGAAAAACATTTTTAAGGAGTTGATAATCTTTTAAATAGTGCTTAAATTCTTGGACAAATTAATCTCATGATTGTTGACTTTGAAAATGCCTTGGGTTAAGGGGGGAAAAAAAAAAATTGAACCATACATTATAACTCACGATCAAGAAGCCCAATGCCAAGCTAGAACACATCATAATTACTACCATGGAGGCTAATATCAATGCATGTGGATGGAGTCAGAAATAAGGATAGAGTTTAATGTTTAAACTTTAAAAAGTGATTGATTTTGGTGTAACCGAACTTATATGCTAAGTCTACCCAATTCTTAACTTTACTCACATTGAAAAATTCTTATATAAATTAGATATATCACGTCATTTATATATGATTTGTCTAATAAAAACATGCAAGATTAAATGATTGTAAGTATAAATTGATTTTGTCATTAATGATAATAAAAGGAGAAAAAATTAAGAGATCAAAGAGGCACATAATTCTAAAACTAAAATCATCAAAAACAATAATATATTAAATTTTATTTAATTGAACCGACATGTTTTTTATTAATAGATTATAAATAACGTGATGCACTTGGTTTATGTAAAAAATTTTCATTGTTTGTCATGGTTTTCTTTTTTTTACTGAATAAATATATATTATAAATGGTAATTCATGTCTACTAATATTTTCATAACAGATCATTGTTTAATATTCATTATTTTTAATCTATTCAGTGAATTGTAATTTTTGAGAAATTTCGTATTAGGAAAAAAGAAAAAGAAAACCCAATTTTTTGGTTCACGAATCAATCAGCCGACAGATCCGATCTATAAAACCCAAAAATCAATCTATTATCTTCTTCACCTTGCATATCCTCTTGCCAAGAGTATTCCTAATGACCCTTTCTGAGTCATCATCTTCTTTACTGAGGTCGTCCTTGGGAAGCACTGTAGCTCTGGCACTACATGTAGCTTCCTTAATATCATTCATTAACAGCACCACAGGTTGCCACCATCACTACTTCACATCCATCTTCAGCTTCGGTGACTCGCTTGCTGATACCGGAAACTTGTACTTCAGCTCCCAACCACCACCGTTCCATTATAGCTTCTTCCCTCCCTTCGGCCAATCCTACTTCGGTCGTCCCACCGGGAGGTGCTCTGATGGCCGTCTTATCGTCGATTTCATTGGTAATCAGCTAATAATACTCCTATTTCTCACATTTCAGTCTTGGCAGCTTGCCTATTTTGTTCGATATAGGGATTATATATATTTTTAATTATATCTTTGCTTTATTGAATAATTAGTAAGGATGTTTTGGATAAGTTAAATGTTATATTTATTATATTTAAAAAAATATGATTGAAAAAATTTATAAAATTTTTATAAAATCAAAATTATAACCAATATTTTTATAAATATATAAATTAGTATTCTTTAATTTTATTTATAAGATAGACAGAGTATTTAATCCTATTTATAACATACCTTAATAATTATTATATTTATTTTTATCATTTTGCTCTTATCAAATATTGCGAAGCTTATTAAATATTAAAATATTTTATTTTAAAGTAGAGGTTGAAGTTAGAAACTTGTTAAATTTTTAAATAAAGTTAATAAAATTTAAAATTTTTTAATTTTAATAAAAATAATAATAATAATTTATAAATAGAATAACAGAGTACAATTAATAATAACTTATATTATAATGTAAAAAAAAATTTTTATCAACCGAAAAAATATTTCCTTTTAATATATATTATTGGTAGCCGGGTCACCTTAATTCGATCAGTCTCCATCATATGATTAATTTCACTGTCTTAAGCATTTATTTCTATCCGCACATTTATTTCTAGCATGTTGTTTTTCGCCAAAGCACATTTATTTCCAACTGGAAGCATAGATAATTGTGCTCTCTTAAATATTATTAGTCCTAATTTAATTATTACTCTCCCTCCCTCCCTCCCTGTCTTTATTACAACTCACTCCTTTTATTTAAAAATTTAAAATATTTTTTAAAAAGGTTAAATGTTTAAAATATAAAATATTTTAAATTTTTTGAGGTGTAATTATTATTTTTTTTAAAGTACTTTTATTAATAATGATTTAATATTTATTATAGAATATTTAATAAGGATAAATATGAAAAGATAGGGTTAGTTAAAAAATAAGTAACTATTTTATTGAGGGTAAAATTCAATTAAAAATACCTTACATTTTTAAACGGATGGAGTATAAGGCATTATTCAGGGTGAGAATAGTTTAAGCCCTTAAGAGAGAACTTATAGCGTGGCCTACTTTAAATCTAGCTTAACCTACTTATTAAATAGGCTTAGACTATACTCAAGCCTTTAATTAAGTCTATTTAGTTAACTAGGTTAGGCCTATTTTTTAAGGCATAGCATACGAGCTTAACAAGCCGACCTATATATATATATATATATTATGTACTATACAAATACATGTCATCATATGTTTTTTAATTAATTTATTCTTCACTACTTTTAGTTATTTTTTCAATCATATTTAACTTATACATATTAATTTTAATGTTGTCACTTTATTGTTATCTTGTATTGTAGTTAGTAAGTCATTTCAATTCTTATATATTGTACTTGATAAATCAAATTATATATTATATATTATAATAATTTTAAAATATATGTGAGACATTTAAAACTAAAATGCAAGCTTATTTAAAAAGTTTTACTTTTAAGTAGGCTTTTAAATAGGCTTTCAAGCAAGACTAGGCTTTAGGTAGGTTTAAGCTTGAGCCATAAAAAAAAAATCTTTTACAAGCTTTATGCTAATGCTTAGGCCTCTAATTTATTATACAAGTTTAAGCCTATTCAGCCAACGCCTACCTTAGCCCAACCCATTTCCACTCCTACAAGACATTTCCAACTATTCCAACAAAATATAATAAATTATTAACTTTCTTTAAAGATAAAATAAATTTTTAATTAATTTTAGTTATATTTAAATGAAAAAATTTTAAATTTACATTATATTCTGTCTTATAGTTAACTTGTTTAAGTAGGAGTAATATTTGAAAATAATAATTAATACCCTATAGTGTGCCTTGAGTTAACGACCAAAAAATACTTATAAAAGGTGTTCTATAATAAAGATTAAGGGAGTACAATAAGAAAAAGATCTCAAAATGTGATTAATGTTTTCCTTGATGGAATAAAATTCTAGAATATACCCTCTCTATTAAAAAATATAAGACAAAAAAATAAGACATTTTATATTTTTTGAGGTGAAATTAATAATATTTTTTAAGGTACCCTTATAATTAGGGGTGTATTTCTTTGCTCTCATTTTAAAGCAAAGAGATTATTTATTTTAGTCCTATTTATAAAACACCTTAATGATTGTTGTGTCCATATTTACCCTTTGCCTTTACTGAATGTTGGAAATGTTATTAAATATTAGAGTATTTTATTTTTAAAGAATGTATATTTAATAAAGGTAAAACTGAAAACTTGTTGAATGTTTAGACAAAGTTAATGAGGTTTAAATTTTTCCTTAATTTTAGTAAAAATATTAAAAATGACTTATAAATAAAATTAAAGAGAGTATAAAGTCTTCTAATTGAGAGACCCTATTAAACAAATGAACAAGAAAATAGTGTATAATTTTAAGGATAATTAACTCATTATTTAGAAGTTGTGATTCAATTAAAATGTTACTGTTATGATTAGTGTAAGAGAAAATTGATGACAGTTAGGTCTCTAATAATTTTTTTGAAAAATTAGTTGTAAATATTGATTTTAGTAGTTGCAAATTTAAAAGTTTCAATAATAAATATAGTATTTAAATTCTAAATATAATAATTAATTTGGAATTTGAATTCTTGTTTATAACTATTTAAATTAATATTTATAATTTATTTTACAAAAAATTATGTTAGAAATTTAACTGTTATTAATTCATTCTTTTGAAACTTTAATGTCATACCTCCTAAAAAGAACTATTATTGTTCAATATCATTTCTTTCCTAATAACTTAGTAATTGCGTTTAAAAGATTTGCTTTGACTATAATCTGTGTTGTATTGTTCTTGGGCTGTGTAGCTGAGTCTCTGGGGATTCAATTATTGAAACCATATTTGGGAATCAAGAATGGACAAATACAAAATTGGACGGTAGAAGAGGGAGTGAATTTCGCAGTTTCAGGAGCAACAGCTCTGAATGCAGATTTCTTTGAAGAAAAGGGTATTCGTAGTTTGTTCACCAACAATTCTCTAAGCATTCAATTGAGTTGGTTCAAGGAGTTATTGCTTTCCCTTTGCAATTCTTATTCAAGTAAGTGCATAATTATTTCTATATTAGGTTTTCTTTAGATTATGTCTTAAATTTCTATAACCCTTTACTCTTATGCCTGTTTTTAAAACTCCTTTGAAATCAAAATTTACATAAAACATATATTCTATCTATTTTAAAAATTTTATTTTCATCCATCCAACCGTATTAATCTTTAAAAACTAAAATACCTATCTTAAACATAAATGTTATCCAAGAGTCGTTTAAATTTTGAAAATAATTAATATTTAAGACATACATGACAAAATTTAATAAATTAAAAAATTTATTGGAAAAAAAGAGTTAGGAATTTATTATAATGAGATATAAATTAATTAATATAATTTATATTTATTTTATTAAATTTAATATTTAGTAAAATGCTTATGAAAAATAATATTCTTTAAAATATGAGGAGAGAGAATACATTAGATTATGGGTAGATTAATAATTTTAAAATTTTCTGATATTTTAATTAATATAATAAATTATTTTAGAATTTTAAATGAGATACTCCTAACAGTGTTAAAAAAATAAACTAAAATATAAATTTTAAAAATAGAGGGAAGGTCTATGTAATTTTAACAAATATGAATGGAGGTTATTATATTTTACTCTTATTTTATAAGTTATCTTGGCTTAAAATCTATTATATATTTTTGTTATATTTATAATTGATATTTTAGCAAGGAAATATTATTTATTAGTCAAGTTAATATTTTTATCTTTTGGAAGTTATATATATATATATAGTCTCCTAATCCTCATAGGAATTGAACAATTATTATAATTCATATTTTCTATGGTTAATTTTTTTTTCTTGTTACTTGTAGGTTTTTGTCCCTTATATTAAAGGTTTCATCATGCTAAATTTCCCGTTTCTTCTTCTATTATTTTTCTTAACTTCCCTATAATTTCTAACTGCTTTATCCTTTTAATTCCACTTACCTTTTACACGCTTCCCAACGAGTTTAGTGAGACAAAATGACTAATTGAAAGGTTTTGCAGACTCAAAATTTGTAGAATTCGCCTGATATAGCTGATGCAAGATTAAACGAAACTTACCTTCAACTAAATTTCAGGCTGTAAAAAAGTTCTTGAGAAGTCATTATTTCTGGTAGGAGAAATCGGAGGCAATGACTTTAATAGACCTCTTCTTGTGCGAAGGAGCCTAGAAGAGATTACAACATTCGTGCCTCATGTGATTAATGTAATCTCATCAACAATACGTGTAAGATTTCTGAAATAATGCTGTGAAACCATTTCATCTAGCACAATGTAAGATTTTAGGAAAAAGAAGAATTACTGGTCTGTAGGGTCAAATAGCAAATTAGCCTATGAACTATAAGTCCATTAACATCTAAAATCATGAACTTATTTTTGGTGTAATATTTTCCTTTAACTTTTAAAAATAGTGTCATCTTGCCCTTACATTTAGCCAAAATTAATTTTGACTGTTAGTATAAAAAAGACCAAAAAAAAAAAAAAGATCTCAAAATTACACAAAAAGGAACGATAAACTTTTTGTCCTTTCCTGGTGAGTTTTAAATACAATTTTTAGGTTCTTCACTGCAACTTTTGGTTTTTTTTTTGTAGTTTTTGAAGTTATTTTCTATTATTTTTTAGTCAACTAATTATCAAAAATAATTTTTATTAATTATAGTGTCAGAATTGCATCATTTTTAAAAGTTGAAGGAGAACATTATATGAAAAATAAATTTAGAGTCCCAGATACTCCTATATCTATAATTTAGGGGGCCAATTTGTTATTTGACCCCGGTCTTTATGATTTTAATAACTTAATTTTAAGTATAGCAAAAAGCAAGAATTCTAAACCATCTTTTTGGGTAATAGACTATCCAATATCTGATATTATAGTCTAATATGGATTTGAGTTGGATCATGCCCTAATTCGAAAGAAAATTTCCTGGATGATTTTTAATTTGTGTTGGCAGGAGTTGATTGATCTAGGGGCTCATACCCTAATGGTTCCAGGAAATTTTCCGATAGGATGCACTCCATTGTACTTAACAATGTATGAGAGCAAAGATAAGAATGATTATGATGAAGCTGGTTGCCTGAAATGGTTAAACAAGTTTACTGAGTACTACAATGAAAGGCTCCAAGCTGAACTGAATCAGATTCAAGTGCTTCATCCTCAAGCCAAAATTATCTATGCTGATTATTACAATGCTGCTTTGCCATTATATCATTTTCCTACAAATTTTGGTAATATTTATCTGTCTTCAACTTTTCCGCTTCTTATTTTATATATATATATATATATATTTATCTCCATTATAGGGTACATTCAACTATCTCACCGAAATCAAATAGAGGTAGTTAAGTTATTAATAACTTTGTCTAAAAATAAAATAAACTTATAATTTTAACCCTATTTAAATGCAAAATTTTCAAATTTGCATTACATTTTTTTTCATAGTTAATGAGTTTAAATATTGATAATATTGAAAAAAAAAATGTAATTAATACTCCATAGTGTACCTTATATTAAGGATCAAAAAATGCTTCTAAAAGTTGTCTTATAATAGGAACTTGAGGGATAGTGATTTTTTAATTTTGATCACTGCAGTAGTAGTAGCAGACCTTCTTTTTGAAAAAAGAATTCTTTTGTAAATTGAAATAGGATTAATGAGTATTCTACACCCTAAATTATTGTGTGGATAATATCTTAGATTTTGAACTTCTAAAATGTGTAAAAAACTCTTTTCAACTTCTAAAATTTGAGTGCTTGAAGCTCACCATTAAGTTAAAAAAAATGATTATTATTTTTAAGAATTAATATGAGTGCCACATCAACATGCGACTAAGCTCCACAACCATAGAAGTAATGGCCATTTTTTCTAACTTAATGGTGAGATTTCAAGCGTTTGAAATTTAAAAGTTAAAGAGAGTTTTTACATATTTATGAGTTCAGAATTTAGGATCTTATTTGCACAATGATATAGAGTTTAAGATGCTCATTAACCCATTAATATATATATATATATATATATTGAGAGAGAGAGAGCGCGCGCGCTAGGATCCACGGGAGAAAATAACTTCTTTTTTTTAAAAAATAATATTTCATGATTGGTGTAAAATAACTTTTCCTATATATGTCTGCCAATGTCACGTGATTGTTTTAGAGGGTAGGTTGAGGTTTGTCTAACAAATCAATTAATTGGCTTGTCCTCTCACGTCTATATAAATAATCTTTTATTAACTTTGAATGGTTTAGATTTACTTTACTTTGATATCTCAATCAGGCAATTTATTAAATTTACGTGATAAATTACAGGTTTTTCAGGTCTGAAAGCTTGTTGTGGAAGTGAAGGTCCATACAAGTTCAATGCTTCTTCACGAAAATGTGGGGAACCAGGGGTGAATGCTTGTGACGATCCTTCAAAGTACATTAGCTGGGACGGTATTCATATGACAGAGGCAGCACATAGATGGATTGTCAAAGGTTTAACAAATGAACACTGCGATGCTGCTGAATTTAGTACCTTACGTGGTCTGATAAATAATAATGTTCAATTTGAATGTTTAATTTAGTTCAATAGCCTTGTGACTGCTTCAAATAATGCTTTACCTTGTCTAGCCAGTTTAAGTTGTGATGGTTCATTTTCATGTTTTTGTTTTCAAATAAATCATTGGATATGTATATTCAATATGAGCAAATAGTTGAACATACATATCCCTTTACAACAAGGCTATTTATTGATTGACACTTAAAAAAAAAAAAACCACTGTTCGATATATATCTCGTGGTTCTCGTGTCTCCCCTTGCATATTTTTTTTATTTTTATTTGATTTAATTTAATTTAATTCGGCTCAACTCATTTTTTTGAATACAATTATCCATTATTCATGGGCTAAGTAGGGTAGGACTATGTTGGTGGCAAAACTCTCTTAATGAATATTTAACACAATTATATTTCCAAAATTGAAACCCAAGACAACTAGTTTTAATTCATCCCCTGCTCAATTGTACTCTTTGTGCATGCGCATATGCGTGTGTGTGGTGTGCATGTGTGTGTGTGTACGCATGTGCGTGATAATGAGGTGAAGGAGCTTTTAAAATTTGCAAAAAGGTTGCTATTAATGAGTAGGAAGTTCTATTATTCTTGTATAAATTGTACAATTGACTAATTCAAAATTTGTTACTGTGTTGTTCAACCATGCTTCTCCATTTGGTTTTCTAAGGGCTATCTTCTTTCTTTTTGAGCTTCTTTGGAAATAAGGTGATAAAACAATGTTTCTTTACTTTTTTTATGACAAGTAAAGAAAATGACAGTTATATGTATTTAATACTCTAACAAAAAGTTGGTTGGTTAATGCCAATAAAACCAAATGCAATAGGGGTATAAAGAAAAGTATAAGAATTGATAAGTGTTTAATTTTACTCGAGGTTATGTTTAGAAGACTTTTAAATAGGTAAACATATTAACACAACACTTAAAATATAAAAGGAATAAGAAACAAGTGAGACTCAAAGGTCATAGGTTTGGGAATATTGTAAAACAATGTTCATGTTAGTACCAATATAAATAACCACTGGACCGATATAAACAGTGAATATTCAGAGAAAAAGTGCCAAGACTAGCATGGGTATAGACGGATTGTATCAAAATAGCTTTTTGTAAAAGACATTGATAAAATATACTCAACACCGGGATGAATGATGCTGTATAAGAGCAGTGTACCGGTATAGAGAATAACATTACTGGCATAGAGGCACACATGAACAAGAAAGTGGCCAAAGGAACAAAACCTTAGTACCGGCATAGTGGAATTCTAAGGGAACAAGGGACACTATACCAGTATAGAAGAACAAAAATTCTTCCAAGAGACTTATACCGGTGGAAATGTTTAGTACCCAAATAAACAAGATTATAACCACAAAGCAATTGAACAGCTTCTCAAATAACTAGGGTATGAAATGAAATAAGCTCAAGAATGATTCTAAGAAAAATCAAATACTTAACTCAGATAAAATCTCATTGAAACAGAGCTTAGAAATTTAGGAGAATAATACTTATACCAGTATAGGCAAAATAGTATGGGTATGAGAATATAGAGTAATTAAAAATCAGAGTTTGATCCATATGGGTCTTGTTACCCCTTAAATTCCGTAATTGTCAATACATTTTCCTGTTAAATTTTTTTTCTATTTTTTAATTATTAAAATCAGGGTTCAAAACTTCCAAGCTGCGATTTTGAGGATAAAATCCATTTTAATGTACGTGGTTAGATATGTCATGAATGGGTTTTATTTTAATATGGGCTTGGACCATAAGGAAATTTATGAGAATTCGGCTAGAGGCTTCATCAAGTGGGCTTATGTGCCACCAGCAAATATAAAGACGTGCATTAGGGTCCAATGGGGGTGCGGAACTTGTTCTGGTCATTTTGTCCTGATCGATGCTCTCATCTGCCTATTATATTTTCTAGTTCTGTATTTTGGTTTCAGTTGCTGCTGTAAAATGATTATTAAAGAAGAATAATTATAATTATACAGTGAGAATTTCTCCAATTTTTCCTGTCTTGTTATTTTTGTTGATTTAATGAAGGTGGTGGGGACAAGCTCATGTTGGAGTTTGAAGTGGAAGGAATTGATTAAGATGGCATATTATCATTTAGTTTAAGATTCCCTAACTTCAAATATGAACCAATGAGAGATTATTATTTTTCTTAAAGTGAGAGGGTCTTCCACTTGTCTTCGAGTTCTATACCATATAAACTGACAATAGAGTATTAACTATTAAAAAATCAATAAGCATAAAAACAACAGAAAAAAATTGAAAACGTAAGTAATAAGTAGTACTGGCTGATATATTATAACACGCCTACTTGTGAACCATAAAAATACCACTAAAAAGATAAATAACCTACGGATTATGGAGATATTGCCTGAAATAAAAATCACTTGAACGACTCGATTTTTGATAAAAAGTTTATTTGACATTCAATAATCACCGAATCATTTAAAATATAACTCTCCAAGTCTTTCAGCGAAACAAAATTATCCCATCCAAAAGCGTCGTCGGGATAAAACCAACTTGATGCTGCACAACAAAAACACAGATTAGATAATACATCGTGGCATTAATTCAATTCATTGATTGGATTATAATTGAATCAGCGTTTAACTGGCAATAGTTACAGAGATTTATTTGATTAAAATCTAACTTCTCCTTGTATTACGGACGGATAAGTTTTGAATAGAACAGATTCAAAATAATATTCAACCACTTTTCTAAATATAAGGACTAATATATATATATATATATATAAATTATCTTAAATATCTACAAAATCCTAACCACTCCTACTACGTTCTCAACTACTAGTTGACTACTTCAAACCATACTTGGAACCTTAATCCACGTCTCCCATGCAAGTAACTCACAACAAGCAAAATCCTATATTTTGAAATCTCTATGAACTCTTTTTTTTTTTTTTTTAACCTTGGAATCTCAGTGACCTATATCATCTTCTAAAACAGTAATGCTATGTACTTCTCATAAAAGATAAAACACTAGTGATTTGTACTTGAAAAAGAACAACGATACCCCTAAACACCAATCCTAAAACAAACATAAAAGAATAATGAAATTAAACATGCGAATTTGTACCTCTGATCACGATTTTCTCCGAATTAATTTGACTCTTCAAGCGAAAAGTGTATTCGGCAAACACTTTGATACTTGATGGCAGCTGACTTTTATCTTTGAAAATCAAATAAAGTGAAAAATATTCATCATAGACGTCAGCTGTAAATCCTCTCGGGTAAGCTTCGAGCATCCTTAAAAACACGAATAGGAATAATTGTAAATGATAATATATAGGCATAATCAGTGAACACAAGTTTTAAAAAGTGATTTAAAAAAAAAAGAAATGAACATGGAAAATATAGTACCATTCTGTGCCTTCAACAGTGAATAATTCTGACTGACGTCGTTGAGGGCCATATTTCGAGAGGTTATTGAGCTTCCATGTGTATTTTCTGTTCACCACAGAAGGCGGCAATGACGTAATGCACTCATATTGTCCCGTTCTTTGAACCACAAAAACCTCAGCACCAAACAAACAACAATCATCAACGAGATATCCGTTCTCCATATCTTTGAACGTATTCATAGGAAGAAATTCATCAAATCCCCACTCTGTTTTAGCTGGATAAAAACGCTTCAAATCATCTTTTGCATCTGCACTTAATTAATATTAATAATACATTAAGTTTTCAGTAGAGTCACACACACACACACACACGTAGATTCAAATAGGTATATGTACATATCACAGATGAAACTAGTAACAATGTTATTACGTACATTGGATCACCAAGTACTTGTCCTTTATTTGATCATGAACGAAGAACTTGAAATGAGACAAGACCTCCCAACCAGTAGGAAGTTCCTTAGTTTCTACTATTTCTAAGTAAAGTGAGATATGCTCAGCACCGTCGTTGTCTTTGTTCTTCCCACGTGGGTAGAAAACAATCCTCCTGATAAAAAGACCAGAAAGCAAACAAATTTTGATTCCCTTTCATTGATATAAATATATATATATATATATATGATTGAAGTGATAAGTGATTCGCCACTTGTGGCCACCAGCATCGAATACACCAGATTCATATCTTTCTGTCCAACGAGAAGCAAGTGATGAATAAGACTTTATTTTCATCAGGTAGTGAGCAGGAGGGTGAATTCTTTCTGATCTCATGATTCCTGTACATCAAAGAACTCATTATCAAGTCAGCTAGGCACGTAGAGATGAGCAGTTTTGAGAGGATCAAAGAAATCAAACCATTGAAAATTGTAAGATCATATGTTACAGAGTCATTTTCTTCCATGATGATCGTCCTTTGTTCACTTCTTTCTACGTCGGATCATATAAAGAGGCACTTGACGGCAGGCTCTTCGATGCTTAGAAATATTCAATAGGGCTACGTCGGAATAATCTCAATTTGAGAACGGGTCAACATTTATGATGATTAATATTTATTTAACTATTCTCACAAATAGTTTATTTTCCAATAATTTTATGAAAAAATAGCTATATTGTTGAAAGATAATTTTTGGTGGTAATCATCATTATTTAATCCATGTAAATCAGTAAGTTATAATTATAATTTAGAGTAAAATACACCCACAGTCCCTTTATTTTACCTTAATTATAACATATACATTCCTTTTGTTTGTGTGTATATGTATATATACATTCCTTTTTGGGAAAATGATAGTTAGGGATCGGTAAGAATATTAATGACAATTATAGATTTTAAATTATTAAAATCCTAATAAAAAACCTAGTACTCGCTTGCAATAAATTATCTTTTATTGACACAATAGACTTTTATTAATTCTCAACTAATGCTACAAATATTCTTAAGTATCTTTTATTAATTTTCCAAACGATAACAAAAAATACATATAATTGGCTTGCGATTTATAATTGACTTTCATAAATTCTCAGCTGACATTACAAATAATTTTAAGTATATTTTATAGATTTTTCAAATAATTTATCTATATATTGATAAAACATCACAAGTGTTGATTGGCTTGCTATTTATAAAGAACTCTCGCAAATTTTTAATTAATATCACAAATAATTTTAAGTATATTTTCTTAATTTCATATGTGGTTTATTTATGTATTGACAACAAAATTATCAAGACTTACAACTAACGTTTATAAATTGTTGATTAATGTTATAAATAATCTCAAATATATTTTGTTAATTTTTTAATTGACTATTCTCAGTTTTTTAATTGCAAGTAAGAATTATAGTTTGTTTTTAAAATTTTAATAATTCAAGATATGTAATTGTCATTAATGTTCTTATGGGATCCTTTCAATAATTCAAAGTTAAGGTCGCTTTTATCCCTGAACTTTACTCTTAGGCCATGTTTGGTATGATAGAAGAGTTTTTAATGGAATCGAAATCATAATTGAAATTAGAATAGAATTGGATTTAAAAGTGTGTTTGGTATGATGATGAAATCCTGATATAATTTTAATAAAATATAAGTACTTAAAATAAGAAAAGACCAAAGTGCCCTTTTTAAAATTAAAAAAAATTATATTGGAGGAGGGAGAAGGGGCAAACTGGAGAAAGGGAGGATTCCATGATGCATGTGATGGAATTGGATTCTGCCAAATTTCCTTAAATCTAGATTTCAAAGAATCATAATTATTGTATACCAAACACACATGTTAACAGATTCCATGTCCAATTCCATTTCTTTCTCCATAATTCCAAGCTACCAAACAGGGCTTAGTGTTTGTGGGAACCCTGAACTCAACTTTGAGTTATTTTTGTTCCTAAACAGTCATTATGTGGTTCACTTTTGTCCCCAACATTAACACACTTAACAGCTGTTGTGTGGTTCCAACCATTTGCATTTTTTTTGTCTCTACACATTTTAAATTGTATTTTTTATAATAAAATACAATTAGCTACGAGTCCTTAAAAATACAAATAAGAACATGTATTAACAGGAATCATCAAAATCGAGATTATAATAGTTCTGCGTGAACTAGTTAAAGATGACTTGCAAGTAAAAGAGAGGAACGAATACATACCATTCGGTTTTTTCAACAGCGAATACCTCTATTTAAGGAACTTATTGTTTCTCGACAAGTTACAGGGCTGCCATGTGAACTGTGTTCACAGAAGACGTCAATGACGTAACACAATCGTGTCTCCTGTTCTTTGAGAAAAACCTGGGCTCCAAACAAACAGCGATTATGAACAAGATGTCTGTTCTCAATATCTTTGAATATATCCATAGGAAGAAGTTCATGAAATCCCCATTCTACCCTGGCAAGGTAAAAGCGCTTCACATAGTTTCTTACTAATTGATAAGGTATCAGTTGAGTCATACGACGTCGTAGATTCAAATCGATATATCATATCTGATGATGATGATGATGATGATGATGATGATGATGATGATAGTCTTACCAACCAGTAGGAAGCTTTTCAGGCTCTGCTACTTGTAAGAAAAGTGAGATATGCTCAACGAGGACGCCTTTGTTAATCTTCCCTCGGGGGTAGAAAACACGATTCCTGATAATTAAGTAGACAATAAAAATGAACACACACACACATATCATATATAGATATATATATATATATATATGTTTCGTATTGAATTATTTGCAATGGGAAAATAATAAAAGTAATTAACTCACCACTTGTTACCTGCAGCATCAAATATACCAAATTATTTGATATCTTTTCGCCCAGTTGGAAGCAAATGATGAATATGACGTTATTTTCATGAGGTGAGCATGGGGATGAATTCTCTCTGATTTGATGATTCCTGCAAATCAATTATTAACTCATTTGCAGGTGGGGCGGAAATTGAAAATGTCGTCTACGATTGGTATGTATATAAACATAAATTAAAGCATCATTAATAGACAAGAACAGAACTCACCGTTGAGATCATAATCGTCCATGACCAGTTCACATCGATCTCTTCTTCCCTTCTACGTTGCCAAAGCACTTATGTATGTAAGAGTGTGTGTGTGTGTGTGTGTGTGTGTGTGTGGATGTGTATCTATATATAAAGAGCCACTGATCGAGCACTGAACGCTTCATCTGGTCTAAATTAAAGACAAATATATATGTAAGAAAAATAGAAAATGCATTTTTCAATAGAAAACTAAAAAAAATTAAAATTAAATTATATGAAAAATAATAATTCTTTCATTATTTTTCAATAGATAAATATATGTAGGAAAAATAGACAATGCATTTTTCATGTCGAAAGTTCCGCAATGAAAAAGATAATAAAACATTCGGTGTGATTAGAACCTGATAGAGATCACGTTGAGTCATCAATTGTATTAACTCTAGTTGTGTGTATAATGGGAGAGAAAGGGGAGAGCCACCAAAAAAAAAAACAAAAGAAAAAGAGGTTATGATTTGATATGGTTTCCTTGGGGTAATTTTCCTATTTTATCGGATGTCCCCGAAGGGACGTAATTTTCCTATTTTGAGTGTTGATCGAATCTCCAAGTTAATTATCTCATTTAATGTATTATTACAGAATATTATATTATTTTTTATCTCATTCCTTGGTATTAAGGTTTATTATGATTTCATATGATTTAAATTCTTAAACCCTTGAAGATATTCACCATTAAGCTAGCATTTCGGATTCTAAATGTTAGAGCCATTGAGCACTAAAAATTTATGGAGGTTAGACCATTCAATCTTGATTAAAAATTTGTTTCTGTTCATTATGTCCCAGACAAAGTGATAAAAATACTCTAATGTTTCAAAATCCAATATTTCAGTTTCAAACTTGAAAATGTTAAAGCTTTTCTCATAAGCTATTTTAAATAACTTTTTTTAATTCTACAAAAAATTGAAAATATTCGACCCATCTCGCACACCTAAAGGCTTCCTTAATCTTAGGAAATGTAAGACTTCTTTCAAGGAAGCCTTAATGTCAAAACTTACCCAAAACCAAAAAAAAAAAAAAAAAAAAAAAAAAAAAAGAAAGAAAGAAAGAAAAAAGGGCTTATCAAATTTTCATATCAAATTTTGGTCCTTGTTTAAAATTAATGAAGAAAAAGTAATTTTAATACTTTGAATTGCTGGAGCTTTTAATATTCGATACTTTCTTGAAAAAGAAAAAATAAACTAAGCAAATTGACACTAATGGAAAACTTACAACCGAACAAAACGAAATACGAAACACTGAGCACAACTGTATAGAGTAGCTCCCAAGACACAAATGACATATATCAGTTGATCATCAGAACACTTTTTCACATGTCTTTAATGATTGAAATGTTCACCATCACTCATGAATGTAATCTGGCATTCAATTATCACAGTATCATCCACACAGTACCCATTTCTTGCATCTTTAAGATCCTCCACCAGCGACATAAATTTTGGGAATGCCCAGGAATCACCATACCAACCACTGTTTACCTGCAACAAGGAAGACAAATGACAGAACTTTGAAGTGTTATTCCCTGCAAATGGACACTATTAAAGATAAACACAACATGAACTATATCAATCAAGTATCACGAACCAACAAAACAAGAAAAAGGACACACATCGTACCGTCCATTTTCTTACTTCTCTTTGCTAATTTTTGATTCTCAACGCTTAATGTGTACTCAACATACCACTTCTTCCTTAATATGATGCTCTCTTCTTCATTCAAAGCCAAAAAACTGGACAGGAACTCATTTTGGGTTTATCCAACTTCCTCAATTAGAGAAACCGGGAAAAAAAATATCTTAAGAATTAGTGTTACAAATTTGTAATGATTTAAAAGAGAACTGACGAAGAAAATAACTTAATCATTTAATACAAACCATTTTGTGCCTTGAACAGTGAATGATTCGGACTCGCAATATTCCTTCTCAATTTGAGAGAAGTTTTTTGACTTCCATGTATATGTACCGCATGCAGGATTATTCAGAGTGGAATGACATTCCTAATTTCCAGAACCATGGACTACGAAGACCTCAGTTTCTAATATCCTTGAATGTTTCATCAACAGGAAGCAGTTCAACGAATCCCCGCTGTCTTTGCTGGATAAAAGCGTTTCAACTTGTCTCCTTCATCTGAAATAGTTAAAAAACGTTTCGTCAATGTTACTAAAATTACCATTAGCTGAAGCAGTAAAGGTAAACCCATATCCTAAAATTATGAAAATTACTATATTGTATCCAATATAAGTATCTGCATGTCCATGTATATGGGTAATGAAAATAAGTACTTTTGACCTTATGACTCTAGTCCAATTTTCAATAGGTGTCGTTCTTGCATGCAGTCTTGTGTGCCTCTCATTCTCCCACCTCCTTTTCCCTTCCTCTCTCTCTCTCTCTCTCTCTCTACATATATATATATATATATATTTATATATATAATATTACAA